AAACACTTGGTTAGAACATAAAAGCTGCATGGGCGTTTCCCAGACTCGTGACTGAACAAATAGAGTGTCTCTGGCACAAGGGACCAGAGACATCCAACCATCTGTCCCACAGGCTCAAATGGCAGCAGCAACTTGAAGGAGGATTGCTGAGCCTGTACGATGGTAGTAACTCAACCTAGTAATTCACAGTAGCCATCAAACCCAGTGAAAAAACCTGATGGGGCTCAACCTGCAAATAGCCTTGTTTGAGCTGCTATAGCTCATCTGCTCGAGCTATAGAAACAGCCTGACCCCATATGCCCCCCATTCCCAATACCAAATAAACTGCAAGAGGACAAGTCTAGGAAAGAGCATAGAATCTCCATCATCTATCTGCCTCCTCAGCAGGGAGGAAATACTGATTGGTTTTGTTCTCTCTGAGTATTTGGTTTTGACTTGAATTTCTCTTATTGTGTTTACACTTAATGCTTTTTTCTTCTGCTGTCCGCTCAAACATTTTCTCTCCTTCCATTGTTGCTTATTCTCTATGTTTCTCACTCACTGTCCACCTTCATTTTATTATGTAATCATTAATAATTTCAGCTTGAATAGCTTTTCAATCCTCTCTTTATTCTGTAAGTATCTTAACTCCTTTCTTTTCTCTCCCCAAGGGAATATAGTCAATATTTCTATTTGTAGTTGGGATTTGCTGCATTTGAATGTATGGTTTGTTTTTTAATTGTTCTGTTGGGATCTTGCTTCCTCTCCTCTGAGTAGTGGTGGAGATTGAGAGCTCAAGATAAAATTACCCACTAAGAAGACTTTAACATAAAATCAGAAGGGATATCCCAACAATGGCAAAAATATTTACACAGAAACAAGAAAAATGGAACGGCAAGGCAATATGACTCCCACAAAAGTTTACAACTCCTCAATAACTGAATCCAAAAATAACGAACTGGTTGAAATGCTAGGCAAAGCATTCAAAAGTTGACTTTTAAAAATGACCAGTGACCCCAGTGACCTCAGTGACCTCAGTGACCTCAGTGACCTCAGTGACACCTCAAAGGGAGTCAAACAAACAGACAAGTGGGGTGAGGATGGCAATTCAAGGTTTAGAGTAGAAATTTAGGAACAAAGATGAAAAATTTAGTAAATAAGTAGATTCGGGGGGGCAAGAGTTTTGGAAATGAAGAGTACCATAAATCATAATATTTAAAGTCTGGGAAACATTGCCATTAAATTAAATTAAGCAGAAGAGAGGTTTCACAGATTGAAGGTATGATCAAGGAATTGTTATGTTCCAGCAGAGAAGGAAAGGAAAGCAGTCGTGACCATGGCTTTCAAGAGCTTTGGGACATGGTCATGTGATGAAAACTAGAAATTCTCAATGTAGACAAAGAGCTGGACAGGCGCAAGAAATCTAATTGCTGAAGCTGTGCAGAAGAAATATTCCAAATATAGGGAAAGATGTCTGCATCCAAGAGCATTTAGAACACCAAGTAGACATTTAAAAGAAAGAATGAAATTAAACCATTTCAAGTGGTGTCTGAAAATGGAGTTCATCATATTAAGGAAAAAAGCCAGGCTTGAAGCGAGAACCATTACATGGTTTCTCTCATATGTGTGATCAAGTAAGAGCAGAAGCAAGACCATAAGGGATGTGGAAGGAAAAGGGGAGGAAACACAAGAAACAGTGAGAAAGTGCAAGCTTATGGTCAAGATACACCACATGCATTTTGGAAATGTGATTATAAAAAGTATTACTTTGAACAATTAATATATGCTAGCAAAAGGGAAATTTATTCAAAAATATAACCTATTACCTCTACTTAATTTCCTAAATATGTTGAAATATGAATAATTACATGCTTGTTGGTTTGTAAAGGGTAGGATACCCTGCTGATTATACAGATGTAATCTGAAAAGCAAATATGAAATGGACATTGTAGAAGCATGATCAGAAAAATAATCCATAATTCTAGCAATGGAAAGCCGTTTTGAATCAGAAAACTAAGCTTCCAGATGCTCTTCTCTTTCCTCTTACTCTATTAAACTCCTGTTCCTATGCTCAGTCTCACTGCTCACCTCACCTACTAAATTCTCTTCCATCCCAGAATCTTAATGATAGACAAACTTCTGGGCTCTATTAAATTTCCCTCCCCTTAGGAAATTCCTCTATACCCCTCTAATCCTTCTGATTTCCTCCCTTCCTGGAATGACAATAAGTTCTACACAGTATACAATTCAGTCAAACTCTAATTATTTCATCTCTACTAATAAGAAATCTATAGTTATTTGAGAGTGGAATGTAAGTTTAACTTTGTAAATATATCTCCTGTCATGTAATACAAGTTCTTAATATATGCTTAATAATTTTATTAGTGATATAACAAAATGCAGAAGTAATTCCATTTAAGCTGTCATTTTTCATTCTAATATAGTTATTATTCAATGAGTGAAGATTTTGGCAATGCAAGGAATTTTAATGTGACTGCATTTAGTCTTAACTTTCTGTTGAAGACTTGATTCCCATGACATTCCAAAATGAGATCTGCAGCTCTTCACTGAGACCCACAGACCAGGGAAATAATTTTGTCCATTGTTCTAGAGATAAGCTTGATTTTCAATATACTTTATTGTATCAGGAATTTCATGCTCTGTTGTTTCCTATAAAAATCATAATATTTCTCATTTATAGAACGTTAGCAAGCTACATGTTCTTTAGAAATCTTGTTCATCTGTAATTTATATCTTCATTTTAATATGATTGTAAACAAGGAATCTGTCATATTAGAAGTTGTGCAGCTGTAAGTTTAAAAATGCAAACTTTGTAAGTTTCAAAGGTATTGAAAGTGAAGATGAGATATGAATATAAGTTATGGCTCTGGTGGTTTCTTTTTCTAGCTTCAAATCAATTATCATTAACATAACTCAATATTGATTTTTTTCTTGTTTTAAAAGGGAGAGCGTGGAAGTCCAGGCCCACTTGGTCCCCAGGGGGAAAAGGGTGTCATGGTAAGAGATGAATGATCTAAAAACTCTGTTTCTAATTCATATAAGTCAAGACCTCCAAGGGGTAGAACCACCTTGACTGAGATTTAAGTGAAAACGTTATTTTGTAATAAATTTCCATTGAGGTTTCTTTTTTAGCTGTTTTATATCCTAGAATGATGTTCTATGGTACCAAATCCACAAAGAAGTATAAAAATAAGCTTCCTTAGTAAAATTGTTCTATAGTTATGAGAGAATAGTTAAACTATAAATGAGTCATACTGGATTAAAAAGAAAATTCAATTAAAATTCTTTGTGTTTTGTGCAAAGAAAGTTCATATTACATATGTCCTCACCCACTCTTCCACCAGCTCTGGCCATGAGGCTGGTTTTTTAGCACTTAATAGTTTAAGCAACAAAAATTTATCTTATTCTTTTATATATTCAAGATAATGACAGCTGGTAAGTTTTATATCTGAGTTATATTTTTAGTTTATTACATAACCTATGTTATAGGAAATTAAAATGATTCACTAATTGCATCCACCTTCCTTAGTCTTGAATCTCCTAGCTTCTCTTAGAAGTTTGTATTCATAGTATGTGTCACAGAGCATATCCATGTGTAAGATGCCATCACCTACAGAAAGGCCAAAGAAAAGTGTCTTCCCGGTATTGTAACAAGCAGTGCCACCTAGTGACTTTCTTTTCCAAGCAAGGACCTAATAAATGGATGCACATCTCTAATAGTTATGGTCCTCCTGTAGAATATTTCCTGGGCTTCAAGCACAGCAGGTAGGAAAAGATGACCTTATCAAGCTGTTCTTCGGTTACCACTTGTGGTTTACTGATTTTTTTTCTCTTAAAGGAAAGTAACTGATTTTATTTCTTTCATATTTCCTTTAAATCATAGGGCTATGATGGTCCTCCTGGGGCCCCAGGACCCATGGGTCCACTGGGATTACCTGTAAGTATAGAACAAACTCTGTGATCCTTTCTTGAATGCCCACTTTAATTTAAAGCCATGGCCTTTGTTGCTTCATCTTTGGGGTCTCATGTAAAATCAGCCGTGTGTAAAGCATGTGCTTATCTCCACACTGTATGGGCATTCTGATATGTTTCTCTGTATCTTGAATTTCCTTCCCCCTCCTACACATAGCAACCATTTTCAGTTCTCTAGCCTAAATTAATATGTGATATATTAGAATATATATATATACACACACATATATATATATACATATATATTCTTCCTTATGTAAGAAATTAGAATCAGTCAGCAAAATACAGCTGAGATCAGAGGAAGTAACAAAACACAAGCAGATGTTTTAACATGTTTTTTCTTAAAATTTGCAAATATTCTCAAACAGCTAAAATTTGTAGGAAATGTGCCTTTGGTAAGTAAAACTTGAGCTTTAAATATATTCCATCTGTTGTTTTCAGAAAGATAATTAAATCTTGCCCCTAAAGAGAGAACATTTGCTTGCTACAGTTTGACAGTTATGGTTAACATGAGTCTGAAGAGATTCAGCCTCAGTGGTGTCAGGGCAGAATTTCTTTTTACAGAAATCATTTATATTACGTTTCATGATGCTCCCATTCTAAAAAGTAAGTTGATTTTCTAGTATATCCATAGCCACATTGACTTCTGAAAGAAGAAAGACTAGAGTGTTATAATTATAACAGTGTTGTAATATAACCAGGCATAGTAGACTGCATTGACTGGCTAAGTGGACCTCTCTTTCCTCCATTGCTTATGTGCAGTCCTCCTGAACAGTATTAGCCAATGAACACTAAAGCCTTCCAATCCATCTCAGACTAAAGTGACATTTTTCTAAAAAGTGAAATATTTTAAAGTAGAATGTTAGGGAAGTATACATGGTATTGATTGATTAAAATTTATTTGAATGGAAACTAATATCACTTAAAATCCATCACTAAAAATGCATTTATAAGAAAGGTGTAACTACTATTCTGGTAACAATGTTATGAATTTGATATCTGAGGGTTTTTTTAATTTCCAACATGTAGGGTCTTGCTGGGGCAAGAGGTGCACCTGGGAGTCTGGGTCCTAAAGGACAAAGAGTAAGTAACACAAAAGTATGTTACCCTCAAAAGAGTCACCTCATATTCATGTGATTGACAAAAACAGCTCTAGACCTTCTAGAATCATACTAACAAACTGTCATGCTGTTGCTGTTTTTAATTCTATTAGATGAACTACCTATAGTAATTGAGATATAAGTAATAATTTGTACGTATAAAATCACACATCTTCATTTTCATCTTTACCTACTACAATATCATATAGAATTCTTTTTTCTTATCCCCAACCTCTCCTTCCATTTGTTGGGGCATTATAAATGTGAAGATCTTTAAATAAATTTCACTTCTATTCACAACAATTTACATATTATGAAAAATGATAGTAACATAAAGCAATAGGAAGTAGAATGGAGTTAGATAGAATGAATCAGTATTTATCAGTTGTATTTTAATTATTATTGTCTAACAAGTAATGTGCAGAAATCTCTTAAGCATTAACTCTTCTTATATAAGCATCAAGTGGCTGGAGAGATGGCTCAGTGGTTAAGAGCACTGGCTGCTCTTCCAGAGGTCCTGGGTTCAATTCCCAGCACCCACATGGCACTGTCTGTAATCCCAGTTCCAGGGCATCCAATGCCCTTACATAGATGCACTAATGCAAATAAATTATTCATTTTTTAAAAAGCCATCAAGCCACCACTTGTGAGACTGCCACATATACTTCATGTATATTGTCTTATTTAATACTCAGATCCTCCTTAAGAATGCACAGCACTGTATCGTAAAAATCATAACCAAGGAAACGAGGGTCCAAGGAATATCATTTGTAGAGACACAGAAGAATCTCTCAATCAACATTCAAGCCATGATATATTTTACCCCTGAGCCAGTGTTTATTTGATGTCACATGGAATATTAAAGGGTACTTCTCCTCCTCTGTATGTGTGACTTTAGGAGTTATATTTCTTTTTAATTAATTTTTATTTAAATTAAAAACAATCTTATTTTACATACCGATCCCAGTTCCTTCTCCCCCTCATCCTCCCATCCCCCCACCGACCCCCCATCCACTCCTCAGTGAGGATGAGGCCTCTCATTGGGAATCATCAAAGTCTGTCACATCATTTGGGGCAGAACCTAAGCCCTCCTCTGTGTATTTAGGCTGAAACAGTATCCCTCCAAAGGGAATGGGCTCCCAAAGCCCATTCGTGCATTAGAAACAAATACTAGTTCCACTGCTAGCAGCCCCATCGACTGCCCAAGCCCCACAACTGACATCCACATTCACAGGGACTAGTTTGGTCTTATGCAGGCTCCCCAGCTGTCAGTCTGGAGTCAGGAAGCTCTCACTTGTTCAGGTCATCTGTTTCTGTGGGTTTCTCCAGCCTGGCCTTGACCCCTTTGTTCATCACTCATCCCTCTCTACAAATTGATTCCAGGAGTTCAGCACAGTGTTTATCTGTGGGTGTCTGCTTCTGCTTCCGTCAGCTCCTAGGTGAAGGCTCTATGATAGAGTTTAAGATAATCATCAATTAGTTGGGGTCATCCTTGTGGATTCTTGGAAATTTCCCTAGTGCCAGGTTTCTCATTAAACCCATAACAGTTCCCTCTATTAAGTTATCTCTTTTCTTGCTCTCCTCCTCTCTTGTCCCCCAACTCGGCCTTCCTGATCCCTCATGTTCTCCTCCCTCATCCCCTTCTCCCCTCCTCTTTGTCCTACCTTCCTTTCCCACCCCCACCCCCCATGCTCCCAGTTTCCTCAGGAGATCTTGTCCCTTTCCCTTCCCGGGGAGTCCATGCCTGCCTGCTCTCTTAGGTCCTCCTTGCTCCCCGGCTTCTCTGGGGTTGTGAGCTGTAGGCTGGCAATCCTTTGCTCTGTGTGTAATATTCATGGGTTGCACTTTACTTGGCTTAAATTTTAGAGTTAGTGAGCATTTTTCTTATTCTAAAAGCATGATATCTAACTAACAAAGATTTTAAACATTAAAATAATAAAGATAAAAATCACTGTTTCCCTGTTGTAAAATTGAGAAAGAGTATTGTGAAGTCACCATTTGAGAACAGCTTTGATTTTATGTCTTGTGTGGTAAGTAGGGATTGAAGAGAATCCTTTGTCTTTATTTTCATTTATTTTATGAAAAACTATTTTCCTTCCTGGCTCTCAGAATTACACTCTATAAACATCTGTGGTAGTTGATCTATTTTAGCTTAAATGAGTTTAAAACTAGGAGGAAAGTGATTTGTAATCCAACTGTCATTTTGCTGATTACATCCGGTCAGGACTCAATTCTTGGTGAGGCCAAATGTGTTTTTCAGTCCAGCATGAATCACAGTGGGGAAGCAGGTGGATAAAAAAAGAATACTTATCTGAATTTTTGTTAGTTGAGTGATTTAGGTCTCATTGACTCTCAGGCAAATCTATGTCCCTAACCATGGTACATGCCGAACCACTGGAATGATCTCATAAATCTTGTGACAAGTAATTTGCTTTGCAGTTTTCTAACTTCACTGCGACCATGTGAAGCTTCCTGCTTTGTCACTTTGTCCTCAGCTCTTACATCTTCAAGCTTTTCCATCATTTGCCATATACAATTGACTGACTCTTTCCAAATGGCTCCATGCAATTTTAAACCATGTCACTTAGTAGTTTCTACAAAAGGAAACATTGTTAGGGGAGGAGGGTGTCTTTCTTCACTGGGGGAACATCCTAGGCAGCTAGTAGCTTCATACAATAATGTATAACAGCGTGGGGATGGAGAGATGGTTCAGTGGTTAAGGGAACTTGCTGCTCAATCATGAGAACCAGAGTTGTCTGTCAGCACACATGTCAACCCGCTCACAACTGCCTGTACCTCCAGCTCCAAGAGATGCAATGTCCTCTTCTGGCCTCCAAAAACACTGCACACGCATGCACGCGTGCACACACGCGCACACGTGCACATGCACACACACACACACACGCGCGCACACACACACACACACACACACACACACACACACACACACACACTCACACACACACCACCCATCCAGCCTATTGGGACCGGTGTCTGGCTTATCATCTTGGGATTACCCTCTGGTGCCACCCCAACAGCTAAAGGAATCAATTCTTCTGGCACACCCGTCATTACTTTTGGAACTCCACTCCTAGATACACGTTTTCTGAGCTCATACAGAGTGATCATAATGCTCATTTGCTCTTCCTATTTGGTCTGGGATGGTCTGGGATGGTCTCAAATGGTCATACAAATACCATCATCGGTAGGGTCTGGGATGGTCTGGGATGGTCTCAAATGGTCATACAAATACCATCATTATGACCATTCCTAGGAGATTCTGCCTACTGACCACCATTTATATATCTGATCTTTGCACATTTCTTGCAGTTTATGTAACACTTAACTAGTAACTCAGAGGACTCTATGTCAACTGCCCCTCAGGTTTCAGACCACAGTAAACTTTCCAAATTTGTGACTTAATGATCTTGAAACTGTGAAATACCATGGAGCACTAAAATCCACCAAGGGGAAGGAAAAATAAATCAAGGTGACCACAATGCCAACATCTAAAGAGCAAGCTGAGTATAATATGATGATGAAAAGTTTTGTAACTTGAGGTAGGATGATTGCATAATCATACCTCTTACATAGCTGAAAAAGATAGCAAAAAAACCATTAAAAGGTTGTCATAAACATGCTAAATCATTACACAAATATCCCTTATATTTAAAGTATTACTCATCTGAACCTTTTGCTAGCTGCTATGTTTAGCTGGAGAACATAGGTGAGTAAATAAAAGTTACTTGATATTATTAAAGCACTTCATGCATTTCACAAATCGTTTCTTTTGTATAGATGATGTAAACTAATGCACTCACTACTCTAGTCCTAAATGGTGGTAGCTCAGCCTGATGGGCGACTAGGATGCAGCACAGCCTGAGCCATTGCCTTTCACATACACAGTTGACCCTTTGAGGATAAGTGATCAAAAAGAACCCCTGATACCTGCCCAGTACTTCCTTCTGTGCCCAGCTGCCCAACAGAAGTGATACAGGTGAGGCAGACCTCACCTACTCATCAGGGCATGAACTTTGATCACAAGATCCCTTGAATTCCACATTCTCTCTCCAGAGCAGTGGTATAGAGAGGCGGGCAGCTGAAGAATCTGGCATTGAGACCATGCTACTTAAGATTGAGATGGGCTGGAGGGAAGGCTATCTTAGAAATATGAAAAGTCTTAAGCCTTTCTCCAGGAAAGTGAAACCTATATGGCCATAAACACCATGAAAGTTGGCCCCTTCAAGGAACTGCATGCCACTTTAAGGTGAGGTGGTCTTCAGTAGCTTGTTTTTAAGCCCACTTAGGTTCTTAAGTGACAAAGTTTTTTCCTCCACACTGTGAAAACAAAAATTTATAGCTGAAACCTTTTCCCCAAGATTCCTGATAGTGTTAATCTTGTTCAGTGGATGACTTGGTTCCAGCTGTGTAAAGCAAGGGCCAGAAAAAGACTGCTCAGAATCATTGGTTCGTCATGTGAGTGAGTTAAACCTTAATAGGGGTCATACCAAGATCCAGATCCTGGTTCAGGAACCTATAATTGAGTCCATCTGTCCTATGAATACGGCTATTTCCTTCATTCATGGACACTCAACCTATCATAATTTATATCAGAGGTTGTAGAAATGGGTTTAGGGTCCTCATGAAAGTCTTCCTAAGTAAACCAAGCATTAATATATGTTAACATTTTAGTTGACTGTGGTTTCTTCTTTTAATTTTAATATTTGTATGAAGCAGCAGGCCCAACACCTAATACATCACTCATGAGCCTGACAAACTCTTTGATATGCTTACCTACATTTCAAATATGAAATGTGCTTTTCCTTGATGGAGCTAAGGTATTCAATTGTCACTCTGACTTCCAGACACCTCTCCCAGCTCACTGTGGCCAGATTTGACATTCCTAACAGCATAGGGAAAAGTCTGGGTATTCTGTTTATGCACCATGCTCTCATCCAGAAAATACTCATAAGAGATCCACGAGACCCTTGCAAGCTGTTACTTTTTTAATATCACGCTGAATTACATGCCTGATCTAACAGCGTGTGTCTAATTATTTTGGGCCTTGTCCTGAAGTTTCTTTTGTCTTAGGAGTCAGATCAGGGGTGTACATTAGCCAGCGGGATGTGTCTACCACCAGAGGGAACCTACTATGTCGCCATGCTATGCCTTTAGCTCATTCGCTCACTGGTTCCTGAGGCTTACAGGATCCCAGTCTTTCTTAGAACAGTGCTTTCAAACCCTTACATGGCAACCTGCGGCTTTATGACCTTAATGTGACCTCCTGACTTAGACTTTTTGTTACACTATACATGGTTACCTTTATCACTGTTAGCACAGAAATATCTCTTGGTAAATGAAACAGTAAATGCAAAAATGGAAAGAGCAGCAATAGTTCAATGGTGAACTTCTTATTTATGCTAGAGGCTCCAAGTTCAGCCCCAGGAACATGATAACAATAACAATAATAATAACTACTGCGAAACAGTTTTACACAAGAGTATTTTATTGTAAAACATTATACAAATAAGGAGTTGCATAAGATTTCACTGTAACAGGAAGAGTGGAGTAAACCCTTGAGTGTGTCTGCAAGAACAGGAAGCCCAGGAGTCCAGCCTGGAGAGGCCTGCTGTAGCAAACAGATTTTGATAATAAAGTTCTGGACCTTGCTGGGATATAGCAGAAGGCATGGAGCCAACACGGGTCCTTTCCAATCAGCAGTTGACAGGGCAGCTTGTATTATCACTCTGTACAGAAGCCTTCTGCTTTCACCATCACCAACTGCCTTGCTGTCTTGACGTTTCTCTGCATGCAGCCAGCTCAGCCTGGCTAAGCCAAGTCTCATCCTTTAACCATTTTCATGCTTCCTCATGCTGCCCCTCTGTCCATTCGTCTCGCTAGCCCATGAGGCTGTCCCGGGAATGGAGACACCATCTGTGTCTCCATTCCCGGGACAAATGTATCAGGTCTGCCTCCCTGTGAGTTCCTCCTCTTGGTCCTTGAATTATTTACTCTTTGTGTGATTTAACTTTACATACCATCATTCCATAATGAAGAAATTCATGGTAATGTATCCACATAGCTATCTCTTTTCTCCAGTAGGTGTTTGCGGAGAGGGCATGGAATTAAGTCCCCTACAAAGTCCCTTTGAGATTTATCACTGTCTGGGGACAGCAGGCTCTTGATTATTGAGTAAATACTGAGATTTGCCCTTAAATGGCCGTTCTTTACCTATCCTACGCCCCTGCCATCATCCAGTAACTGCTGTCCAGTAGGCAATTATAAGTGCAGTGTCCTGAATGTTCATTTTTTAAAGATGCAAAGAGACAATGGCAATTCCAAAATAATGGAACTTAAGAAGACTGTTTAGACAAACAACCCAGCCACTTATAAGTTAACTTCGAGCCATTTTAATAATAAATCTTGGAGGACTACTGAGTAATAAAAAGTAAACAAAATGAGAAAATAATCACCTTAGGTTGTAGACACTTCAGCAACTCTTGTAGGTATTTTTTGTACTCTTCTAACTTACTATGTGGTATAAAATCTTTAAAACATGGTTTTGATTATTATTTTAAAAGGAACATTTCAAATTAATAATGGGTTGTTTTCTTCTACCTACCTCTGTAGGGACCCAGAGGACCAGATGGCCTCCCAGGGGATCAAGGTGTCCATGGTGCCAAGGTACTAGCTGATTCCATTTCATGTGCAGTTAAATTTGGCAGAGCCATTGTGTCCTGTATATCTAAATAATGCTTTATTTCCTTATAATGCATAATTTTTACTGCACACCAGTCATAGTTTTTAATATTGAGCTACATACTTGATGCTTTTATTCATGCGTGGTACCATGTGTAAGACTATGACTCAAATTCTGACCAGTCCATGTTATATTGATATTTTGTTAGGGTGAAAAAGGAAATCAAGGGAAACGAGGCTCTCATGGTCTTACTGTGAGTAGCAAACTCCTTAAGCATGAACATTTTCTGCATCCCTGCCTTTTACATTCTTCCTTGTGCTTTTGAGAAATAGCCATTATAACCTAAGCATTTTTTCCCCTGTGTAGGGTAAGACTGGAAGCCCAGGGGAGAGGGGAGCTCAAGGAAAACCAGTAAGTTTTTGTCTTTGATGTGTTATTTTATTAATAATTAAGCTGATGTGATATATGTCACCTTTACTTCATTCTCCAACAATCCTTTGAAATGAAATGGTTAGACACATAACTGCAACAGAACGTAGTAAAGAGAATACAGGAAGCTTCTATGACCTCTTACTCATCTTGAGTGCTGGCTTGTCCTTTGGAGTGCAGAGCCACGCAAATCTGGTTTCCTGTCACACTGCTGACAGAGTTTTCAGGATTCTATAATGTTAGACATTTCCCTGCCTTCTAACATCTGACCAGAGTTGTACAGCTTTTCCTGAGAAGCAATAATTTCTGTAGCTGTCATTGTGAAAGAGGAGAGAAATATTGAAAAATGCATATACAAACATATGCACATATGATAACTACATAAATTAGCACATAGCTTACATGTATAAATATTTTAATTGTTTTCTTACTGAATCATAATGTTAATGACACTTCGATTTCTCATACAAATATATCTTACGGCTTAAATTTAAATAATTTGGTAATTTAAATGATTACAGTTGAGGAGTCAGAAAAGGTCAGGATATTCGTGTTTCTGCTGGTGGTGGTTGTTATAGATGACAACCTTTGTTTGTTCCTATTTGAAATCTGCTGCCCTCTGCCTGTTGTTTTCATAATAGCAATGTATTTTACAATTGTCAAATCTAAAATACTAGAGATTCCAATGAAGAAAAGTAAATGATTGTCCCGAAAAAAGGCTGTGTTCGGCCTTGTGTCATTAACTGAAGGCATTCCCAAACAACAGCCCTTGTGTCTTTCATGTCAGTGTTAATCAGTTTCTGTAGACTTTGACCACTTTGTAAGATTGCAGGCAAGGCTGAACAGAAGTCCATTCCTTTAATTTTTAAAAAAGTGAGGCTCACAGAAATAGAATTACTCATTCTGTGTATTGTTGACCTACCTTAGAATTTTACCTTCATTTCCATTTTAGACTAATGGGACATTTCCTTAGCCCTGTAAATGGCACTAGGATCATTTACAACTATTTTATAGCACACAAGGGTAAAGCTACCTTGACAGATGCCACAGCCTGGACAGAACATGATGAGTTTATGATGTCTGTTGAGATTTATGAGATTCTTTGCCCACATTCACTCCTCCTTAGCTGAAGTGGAGTTTTAGGAAATCAGGGAACATGTCACTGAAAAAGCTAAATGAGCCCCAAAGATTCACATTATCTTTCAGAGTAATCTTACAGTCTCTTGTCCTTTAGATACTGTCAAAATAGGCAATACTCTATTACACAAAATATATTAGAGAGCAGACAACGTTTCTTACATGCTCCTAAAAACAGCACAGCCTTGGTTTAATAGGTTGACTATCTAGAGCACATTTTCTTCACCCATGGTGAAGAGTCTAATAAGATCTGTGAGAGAATCCTTCACAAAATCCCCAGCTTTCACCCTCTTCCTCCTTTTCTCATTCTTCCTCCTCCTCCTTTTTCTTCTTCTTTCTGGTAGAGATTGGGGTGTAAGTACATGCTCTGCCACTGATCTACCACCCATACCCCAAGAACCCAAACCGTCAGATTGGGAAAAGAAAAAAACGACTAAGTGAACCCAACAATACACAGTATCCTAATAATCCTAAAAACTGGGAAGTGTGTATTTGTCTTTGGACCAACACTGTTCCCATATGCTTATAGATCTATCCCAAAAGTCAAAATCAGAAAGAAAAGCCCATCATTCAATGGTTCTGTGGGGTCATGGAGCCTGGGTGACTGCTTTTGTTTATCTGAATCTTAAAAATTATAACATTTCACACGTTACTGAGTTTTTAATGAAGGCATCCTACCAATGCATAAGACAAGTGTGTAAAAATCTCTCTGATCATGTATGTCTCTGATTTTCCCCTTTTTTTCTAATTTTCCCTTCATGTAGTTTGAAATTCTATTATAATTTTGTTCAGTTTTGATTATTTTTTCCTGGTAATACTGTTTGGGAAATGGCTTCATTTAATGTGAGCATTAGTTTCACTAGTCCTTTATGGGCCTGCCATTTATCTGATGCGTTATCACCAATTTTCTTTTAACCCATTTGCACCTTGGTATTTAATTAAACATATTCTAGTTGGGTCTTGCTTTTTATTCTGATAATCTCTGCCTTTTAATTACAGCATTTTGTCTGTTTCTGTTTAGTCAAATTGCTATGACTAGACTTTGGTCTATTTTGTGCTTTTTTTCTTTGTTTTGTTCAATGTCTTCTGTCTTGAAAATTATATCTTACCTATTGACTTTTGATTTGTACTGATTATTAATTTAAGTACTTATTCTAGCTCATGCTCAGTAAACTTTCCCCATAAATTTCCAGGAAGGAAGCATTTATGTGACAGAATACATGTGTAAAAACTGAGAGTCACACAGGACAATTATTAACACGTTGTCTTTATACTGTGGTTATTTTATGTATTGCATCCGTGTGTACCATGAATCCCTCGTTGTAAACAAGGATTTTTGTCTGAATATTAATAAAATTTAATTTGCTTTAATATAAATTAGTGGTATACTTTAGAGCTTGATATGAGGAGACAGGTTTCTATCCATCTCCTCATTTGCCATTTCTAGTGATCATCATTCCTTCTTGAAGGTTTGGATGTCTAAATGCTGACATTTTCCTGGAGCCTATGAAACATCTTTTAATTTTATTTTAGCGAAGTTTGCTAGTTGTGAATTATTCTAGTTTTGATTTGTGAAATACTTTTACTTCGCTATTAATCTTGAAGGCAGTTTTCATTGGATATAAAACTCTAGATTTCATTCAATGCCATTGAAAGAGAGGGCACCTTCAGGAGAAAATCCTCAAGTATCTCTGTCATTACCTTCTGTATGGAATGGGTAATGATACATATCTTGTATTGAGTTAGACACATTGTTGGTCAATTCCTGGTTCTTTCACTTACTGCCTGATTTAACTTTGTATGAATTAGTCATCCTTTTTGAACCTCAGTTTATCTACATTTAAAAAGGAATATCCAGGTGGGAGGAGCTAAAGAGATGTGTCCAGGGTTGTGAGCAATCCCTGCTCTTCCAGATGGTCTGTGTTTATCCACACAGGGTGTCTTACAATTTCCTGTGATTTCAGCTCCCAAGGATCCTTTACTGGTGTCCTCAGGCACACAGGGAAACCCCCGCCCACACCCCCACACACACACACACACACACACACACCATACCACTACTACTTCTACTAATAATAATAATAATAATAATCATAATTATAACAAATTTTGAAAAGTAAATCTCTTGTGATTATAAGAACTATACTTATTATTATATAATGATCACAAATTCCCAATACATAGCCACAATAGTCTGTTATTCTCATGGTCATTTGTTCCCATGATTACTGAGTTTGGAGTCATAGAGTAGTGAGTTCTGTTTCAAAGTCATGTATCATTAATAACATCTGAAAAACCTGAAACAGGATTTTTATTTTTTTATTTGTGCTTTTCCTCTTAATCTTCAATAAAAATTGAGAACATGGAAATTGTATTCTTGTTTTGTAAAACAACCTCAGTGCAGAATCCACATTGATGGAAATACTAAGTTGGTTCTGTGTCCTGACACCCATTACAGAGCAAACTAAACAACAGTCACCATTCAGAGGTCTGAACTCCCATTACAGGCTTCAGTTAGCAGAGTAGGCAGAGCAAGGTCTTTGTACTGACCAAGTCTATTAATTTAGGAGCCTGAAGTTAGTTAAGAACATATGGTTTTCACAACTGAAATAGAGCCTAGCCACAATAAATAAATGAATAATAGAAATAGAAATAATAAACATAGTTTTAATAAGCATAATTCCACTTCTAGTATATGCCCAAAGTAATGGAAAGTCAGGACTCAGGGATACTGTGAACATGCTTAGCCATGTTCACAGTAGCACGTTTACAATAGCCAAAAGCTGGAGCAACCTTAGTGTTCCCTGACAGGTGAGTAAACAAAATGTGTTTATACGTGCATGGGATCCCCAAAAGGGATGTGTGACCCACACTACAAGAAAGAGCCCTAAAGCCATTCTACCCCGTAAATAAGCCAGACACCAAAGAACAGGTATCTTATGGCCTCACAGTAATTACCTAGACAGTCAAATTCATAGAGGCAAGAGTAGTTACAGGGAACCAGGAAAGTGGCAATAAGAATAAATGAATTATTAGCTGGGTTTACCTGGGAAGATGAAAAGTGGATGGTTGGTAAACGTTGTGGATCTACTTAACGCTAAAGAATTATATTCTTAGTTGTGGTTATGGGAAATCTTATATATAACAAAAAGAAAAAAATTAAGGAATGCATAGAAATGAACCCACAAGCAAAGGCAAGGTGTATAAACTAGTGAAAACATTTTCAGATGCTACCTCTTCTTCTACAAATTTCTCATTTGTTTGTCCAGGGCTTACAAGGACTTCCTGGCAGCCCAGGAGACAGGGGGCCTGCTGGAGAACCAGTAAGTTTCTGTCTGCTCTTCTAATTGTGACTTTCTTATTAAGTATATCTACTTTCCACGACTATTCACCTGCAGTGCTGTGAGTGACCTGCTTTAGAAACAGTATCGGCCCTAGATAGCAAAGACAAACTCTGCAGAATGGATGTTTTGCTACATCAACTCTGCAGGATACAAACATGTATGTGTATCCATGTATATGTATGTTCACGGCCATTCTGGCTTCATGTAGTCAAATGTGCTGCTTTTTCTCTGTGACTGTTAAGAGGGCCATGTTTCTGCTTTTGAAAACAGGAAAGTTTGTTTTAGCGATTTCAGGAATGCTCTTTCTACATGGCCTTCTGTTCTTATAATTGTTACATTGCCTCATGCAAAATCATCAGGTACATAATGAAGGCCACATAGCGAAGCCAGTCTCCATATCTGATTGGCCTGAATATGCAAATGTGACAGAAACGCTGTTAGTTACATCAACAATACAAAAACATATGCCACAATTCCATAGCTGTGCTTTAGTTCTGGAGTT